CCCACACTGTCTGTCTGTCTGTCTGTCTGTCTGTCTGTCTGTCTGTCTGTCTGTCTGTCTGTCTGTCTGTCTGTCTGTCTGTCTGACCACACTGCCACCACCCACACTGTCACACTTAGGCCTGTCTACATCTTTGTTCACTCTGAGCACATGATTCTCAGACTATGAGTCCTTATCTTGACAGCCATCCATTTTTCTAGTATGAAGATATTTGTGAAATATTTCAACTTGACAAGACTGGATGTTTCTGGTAGAAAGACAAGACAGAAGAGGGCAAGAATTTGTTACCATAAGGTGAAAAAACTTGACTTTAAAAATTGGAGAGGTCTTCTATCAGGAATCTATGGAGTAGTAAACAAGTGACCTCCTACCTTTTCAAAAAATAAGTCTACCATTCTTGATCTCTTCTCCTCAAAGCTCAGACCCTTTTTTTTTGACTGTGAAAGAGAAAGAAAACATTTTGGAACACATCCTGTAAATTTAAATGGCATTGCATAGTACCGGGTATCTTATAAAAAAAGAGTCTTGGTGATCTTTGAACCAATTTTGATAAAACTTCGCAGAAATAAGATTCAGCCTTGAGTGTGTTGCATTTGTCAATGGAAAAAATCAATCCATATGTGTGAAAAATATCAATCTTTTAAAATTTCAACCAAAATTGACTGAAATGTAAAACTTTGCAAGTTCTGAACTCATTGGCTACGCTGAGCCGAGGGGAGCGGCACAGTGAAAGTGTCTTCCGTACGCCAAGCCGCCACCGACGGCTCGAGAACCCACCTATAATTCTAGCTTAGATTTTTATTCCAATCCACATACCCATGTTAAAATAAAGGTTGTAATATATAATACTGACTTCCGGGCCAAGCCTTTCCACAGAAAATCGGAAGTTTTGATTCAGTTTTGAAACACGATTTCGAAGTTTAGGTGACTCTGTTTATAGCGATGTCCAAATTATAGCCCAGACACCAGTCTTAGTACTTTTACACAAGAACGAAATGTATCGTTATTTGCTCACTAAAGAAACGTAGGACTCTTCTTTAGAATATTGATTATAGTGAATATTTCTGTGTATAATATGTTGATATTAATTTGAATCTGTGGCCCGAAAGACCTGTTAACTCCGCACTAGTCACCATCTCATTTCGCCCTCCCTAAAAAAAATGTGTCCACAAGCCGAAAATAATAGGTAGCGAATGAGTTACAAATCAACCAGATTGTTCAATTTTAAGTCACTATTTCGTGCAGTGAAGAACAAACATATAATAAACAAAATTGATATTGCTAAATAAACTCAAAGTTTTAGAACTGAGAGACCCTGCAGAGTAAGCAAGCTCTTTTGGCCTATGTCTCGATCTACAACATAAATACATTGTGTGTGCCTGAAGAAAGGTACCAACAGTCGGACTTTGACCATTTTGAGCCAATAAAAGGGTTGGTTGTACCTTATTAGAAATTCAATGCTGAAAACAGTGGGTTTTTTTAATTTTGGAGATATAATCTCAAGTACTTTTTGAGACTTTGCACATTTGGCGAAGTAGGGTATAAAAAGATATAATTTTGAGAAAATGAGGATTTAAGTTTAACAAACTTGAGAACAAACAAACTTGAAAAAAAAAGTTTTTAAATGTATTTTTATTTATGGAAAATTCATTTCCAATTTGGCAATCAGTTGACAATATAATATCATGATTAGAATTCAATTGTAAAACATAGCAGGGAAGAGAAAACGTGCTTCAAGAATAGATTTTAACAACTTTCACTTTTAAAAGCAGTTTTTATTTTATTTTATACCCTACCCTCAAAATAATTCAAAATAAAATATTTATCGAGAAGTCAAATCAATGAAAACCCGTTTTAACATTTAAATTAAAAAATGGTGGAGCTATCATCTTTTAAGGAAACACATTTTGGTCAAAAAAGTGATTATTTTGTCATTATCAGGCTGTAGGTCTAGATCTAAACAATCTTGAGCGACTTTTGGTACCTTCCTTCAGGCGCACACATATATGCCTTGATAACACTGGCTTCTATTTAAAGAAATAAACACCCCAGGCCACTTTCCCCACTGTCCTCCCCCCCAACCCCTTTACACTGGGCTACCACAGACATGCGACATGTTGACGTAAAGTGACAGGAGACCTGAGGAGGAGGGGGGGGGGGGAGAGGTGTGGAGGGAAGGAAAATTTAAAAAACTCCTAAAAACTTAAATAACTGACATGAAAGCGCTGACATGAAAGCGCTAAAAACTTAAATGACTGACATGAAAGCGCTGACATGAAAGCGCTAAAAACTTAAATAACTGACATGGAAGCGCTAAAAACTTAAATGACTGACATGAAAGCGCTAAAAACTTAAATAACTGACATGAAAGTGCTAAAAACTTAAAACATAACTGACATGAAAGTGCTAAGAACTTAAATAACTGACATGAAAGTGCTAAAAACTTAAATAACTGACATGAAAGCGCTAAAAACTTAAATAACTGACATGAAAGCGCTAAAAACTTAAAACATAACTGACATGAAAGCGCTGCTGTCAGTATTTTATCGGGAGGAGATGGGGACACTGTTGGAACACCACTCTCGCTCTGGCACTGACGGTAGGCCGCTGCACTAACTACTTGAGCTGCAGTGTACCGGGCGGTACCGGTACTGCTAGAGCCGCTAGGCTAGAGCAGGGGGCCGTTCACGAGTAACCAGCCCTCGAGCGTGTTCGACACAGCACTACTCAACTACTTGATACATTGTTTAGGCCTACCACAGACAGCACCCCTCAATTACTAGTTGTTTAGGCCTACCACAGACAGCACTACTCCACTACTAGATACATATATATATATATATATATATATATATATATATATATATATATATATAGGCCTTATACAACAGACAGCACTACTCCACTACCTGATACATATATATATATAGGCCTTATACAACAGACAGCACTACTCCACTACCTGATACATATATATATAGGCCTTATACAACAGACAGCACTACTCCACTACTTGATACATTGTTTAGGCCTACCACAGACAGTGCTACTCAACACAAAAATGGTTTAATGGTAACATCGATAGAGTCTAAAATAACGTGTCGATCTAGATATAGAAATCTGTGAGATACTGCAAGCGGTAGGACTTCCGTAACGAGCGACCACTATGAGTGAGACAGAGTAGAACAGATGGGAATGGGATAGGGTAAGGGTAGGGTTTGGGCTAGGGGTAGGGGTAGGGTTTAGGTTTAGGTTTGGGGTAGGGTGCGGGTCTGGGGTAGGGTTAGGTCTCTTCTTTCGGAATTATCGGAGAGATTATTCTCACCCGGGATAAGGATAACCTGGATATTATTCCCACCCAGGGTGAGAATAACAACAGCCGTTTATTCGTTTCCGTCCTTTTTTATTTCGTTTCGGGCATCATCATAGGACCCCTGCTGCACTGACCTGAGCGCTCAAGGCGACTAAAATCGCCAACCGGCGGACCAGCTCTCGAGCGCGGGAGGCAACTATTGTCGAATTTGGGGGAAAACTTTATCTTTTGAGGAAATAGCTTCACCTTAATTGTTGCTTCTGTAAAGGGAATTTTACTCTTGATTGAAAGGTTTAAAGTTTAACCAATCAAAACTAAGAACAAAATAAGCCTAGGGTCATGCGTGCCTTGAAAATAATCGCGGGATCTGAACATGCTTTTTGTATTGCTCATGTCAAACAAATGCCAATTCTAACATTACAATGACAAACTATAACTAACATTATTTCATTAAACAGTTTTCAGTTAAGGCTATTATTTTTAAAAACATACTACTCTGGCAAGTGAATTCCTTTCCGAATTCAGAATATACACTTGTCTAGTGTTTTGGTGAAAATATGCGAGCATACTCTCAAGATTTAAAAAAATGAAACAATAAACAATCCCCGCAGGAGCCTAGAAAAATCGGCCAGCTCTCTGGGGCCGGTCACGAACGGTCACTCTTACTTCTAAGTGACTCTTACAATTCACAAATATTCTCAACACCCAGGTAGGCCTAAGAATAAAAATCCATTGCAATCTCAGACCGGGAGAGAATAATATTACATCTAGATATCTAGATCTAGATTAGATCTAATCTATATGAGCAATTGCCAAAACGCGAGACTCTCTTGAGACTCAGTGGTGCAAAAAATTTTTCCTTACCAATTTGACTCTCTTTTCTGTCAGTCACAGATTGACATTTAGTGCTCATATTCCTAGAGTAACAGAGCAAGGAGATGTACGGTTTTGGAGATATGGGTCTATTGGTTCGGCAACGACTGTATTTCTTGTATGTAACAGTGATGACAAAAACAGATAGGCAGCAAGGCAAATTATAGACTTTAAATTCCATTTGTTTAGTAAACAAAGACTTTGTACACTATGAACTCCATTCATAATGGTAATATGAATGACAAGCTTTGTAACAATGACGCAGTGCACAGAACATGTCATCATTGTTATGTACAAGAAAGGATACACATTGGACATTATCATTGACAACACATCACAATAGTGAAAGGCTGTACAAATACAGTTATCAAAGCCTCAGTACCAGAAAAACACATGTGTAAAACAATTTTAAAACTAATATGAGGCAAAAGCACAAAATCAATTGAGCTGACTTGTACATAACAGTGATGACAAACATGACTTGTACGTAACAATGATGACACAATGTACAGGAAAAGACAAAAGTCTTGCCTCCAGAGAGAAAAGCGCACTTTAAGAATTACAAAAAACCCAGGAGAGGTTTCTTTTGCTTTGAAACAGATACCAGGTCATATCAAAGACAGTGGACGATCACAATTATGTTGCTAATTATGACAAACAGTACTCGTACATAACAGTGATGACAAAACATACTGGGAAAAGGTAAAATCATGCCTACAAAGAACAAATTTGCACCAAGAGATATACAGATCAATAAAGGCGTATTTTGCTTCTAAATGAATCTTGCATGTATGAAATATATGTTGAAAACTTATTGATATTAGCAATGATGACAAATATTACTTGTACATAACAATGTTTGTTTGTTTGTTTAGTATAGGGTTTTACGGCGCTCGCAACTGCATAAGGTCATATGAGCGCGCGGGACACACCTAATACTTTTTCGTTGGTAGGAAATTTTGAATTTTGCCCGGGTGGCGGCCGAAGCCTACTCTTATCGATTTTAGACCACCAAGGAATCTTTAACGTGCGCAACTTGCACACGGGCCCTCCGAGATTTTTCGCCCTTGTCCGAGAAGGCTAGGTGTAGATCTTTCCTACCAGAAGATCAGGGGTGTGGCAGAAAGACAGCAGTTAGGAGGAGCCAAGGAGTAGGAGTAGAAAGGCTGCAGAAAAAGAGTCAGGAGCCCAGAAGAGGGGGCAAAGGAGGTGAGGGGGTGGGGGCAGAAAGTGGAAATGAAAGCAGACAACAGAACATTGTTAGAGATCAGGAAAGGATGTGAAAGGAGACAATTTTAGAGAAGAAAATTTTTTGGTCGCTACCCGGAATCGAACCCGGGACCTTTGAATGAGAGGCCAACACCTTAACCTCTAGGCCACGAGAGCCCCAATACATAACAATGATGACACAATGACACAATGTATTGGTAAAAGGTATATTCATACCAACAAAGAACAAATGTGTATTTTTGAGTTAGACAGATAAACAAGGACATGTTTGTTTATTTATTTGAGTAAAGAGAGCACACACATTACTTTAAAAATGTTTGCTTTTTTGTTTGTTTTTGAAATGACCCATCTCTCGAAGTTTGTTCACACATCACACTCTTGTTCCAGGAATCCAGTGTAAACACCGCAATTTCACTAAAATATTCAACAGAGTGGCCTAAAAACCCGCAGAACAGCCCAGTACGTCACATTCAACGCAAAATTCTTGTGCGTCACCGGACGCTGAAGGCAATGACTACTTTCGTTTTTCTCTTTCCGCCGTTGCTTCCGTTGTTCTGGGGAAGCGGGTAAGGGGAAGTCACCCAAGAAAACAATTATATCCGGGCACTATTGATGACCCGTTCAAAACAAAAGTGGGCGAAATTCGGACTTCCGGCACGTCGTAAATTGACGACAATAACAGCGAATGTTAAACAGCTGACCGAAATCGTAGATCTAGGAACCCGATGTTCCTTTCGCGCATCGCAGCTTTTGAAGTATTGAATAAACGACGATAGGCAAAAAGATTTAACCAGCTACGGTGATTCTACTGAAAAATAATGGTGTTTTCTGAAACACCTAGTCCGTGACGACACGACAGACGCACAAGTAATCGGAATTGTTCGTCTATTTGCAAACAAATTAACCGATTTCTTGAGCAAGTTAACCTTTCTCGATGACAAATAGCATAGGATCAAAGCACACGTAAAGAAAAAACACCCAAAAATACTAAATTTTGGACATTCTTGGAAGTTTGCATCGGTGTGCTCAAAATCGTAAATGACACTCCAGGGATCACTAAAAAACGAACATTTTTGGCACAAAATTTACAAACTCAAGATTATAAAGCTGACATGGGGTCTGAAACTGCTATAATGAGGGTGCTTTTTCGGTAGTACCCACCCCGCAATTGTTATTCACGGGGTTTCAGGGGGGCTTGCCCCCCTGACCTAACAAAAATAGGAAGGGGTTTCAGGGGGGCATGCCCCCCTGAATTTTACCACAATTTAATGTTTTGCTGTTGTTAGGTTTGATATCTTAGCTCACTGCGAATCAAACGTATAGATCTAGATCTAGAAGTAGGTCAGGCTCAAATAAGGGGGGTGGGAACTACCGAAAAAGCACCCTATAATGCAGGTTCTACATCCTATATTTGACGTGTATATATTATATACGTTTTGGAGGAATAAATACTAGATCTAATGCATCACATTTTATGCACACTAATGTGAGATGTGTGTGTTTTTCCCCACATTTTGGCAATGGCTCATATATCTAGATCTAGATTCTAGATCTCTATATGATTTTTTTTTCACTCACCCCAGGAGAGATTAACGACAGCCCTCTTCTTTTTTTATTCAATGTTTGTTGGGGTGGTCTCTCGTTACGGAAGTCCTTCCCTGCAAGCAAGTTGGACAGAAAGTACCGAGAGCCGAGATGGCGAACATCGAGACCGGGTAAAGAGACAGGACGTTCAACTTTAACTTTAAAATTTCAAGTTCTAAATTAAACGATGAAAAGAATGATCGCTAAGACTGAGACTGAGAGTGAGACTGCTCGACTCCGAGAAGTTCGGTCGAGGCGGAGACCACATTGTTTTCAACATGATGCACGCGCTATTAAAACAGCACACGATTCAATCTGCTCACCATTTTGAAAAGAACAAGAAGACGAGTTGACAAGTCCAACAGTCAATAGGATTTTGAGATTTGAGTCCCCCAAAATAGTTTGAGGATTGTTGAGGAACTTTCTTCCCAATTCATACAAGACGACAAGAATATTTATAAGTTGTATCAAAAAGTATAATGAGGCATTTGCACGAACAGAAAATAGAACACAGAGTCTGACCATCATTCACAGAATGAGCAATAAACTGCAGAGGGAAATAAATGTAGGGAAAAATGTAATTGTTTAAAGATAAAGCTCTATGAGAAATAGCATTAAAAGTGGCAGGCAATGTATCACAAGTGGAATTTTTTTTTGTTCTGTGAATTTTTAGGTAGATCTACTGGTGTATAGTGTTTAGAAAACTACGCGCCATGCTTACTTTTATTCGCGTTTATATTTAATTGAGAATAATAATTAATTATTAATTCGGTGAAGGGAAATTACATAAAGGATTATAATATCGCTAACTGTAAAGATAATAATAATTATGCCATTAGAGTTTGAATAGATTAGTATGACAACTACGTATAGAGCGTACAGTACACACTCATGTTTCTGTGCTGGTTCAAGGTATGGTGGGATGGAGGAAGCAGACAGACAACCAAGCAACAATAGAATCTGGGACCTACAGCGACTGTACTAGGCTAGACGGTCAGAGAGAACAGTAAGTAGTAAGAACGTATAGGTACTAGGCCACTGACGTCAGCTGTGCCCACCACTGGTCAGTGAGTGGTCAGCACGGGACAGAGTAACAGAGGAAGCTGTACGCTTCATCCAGGACCTAGGAAGACCGTATATAGAAGCTACATATTATTATATTAGTCTACTATTAAGAAAGCTCGGCATGCCCTCCCCCCCCCCCCCCCCCCCCCCCGACAGTACTTTTGGGACTCTTGTGTTTGCCATCGTTCCTTGTCCAGAGGGGGGTATGGACGAGAGAGTATTAACTACCATTATCATCTCCATAATTATCATCAGTAAATTATTTTTATTATTATTATTATTATTATTATTATTATTATTATTATTATTAACGTCATTGTGTTGTCATGATCTTGATTATTACGATTTATATGATTGACAATCATCATCATCCTCATCATCATCATCATCACCATCATCATCATCATCATCATCACCATCATCATCATTGTTTGGTAAGCAGGGTAGGAGGGAGAGTCTTGTTTTAATTTTAGACAAAAATAAAATAACAATATAAAATGTTTAAATTTGTTTAATAGCTCAACGTTTCGCCCCGTGGGCTTCCTCATCATCATCATCATCATCATCATCATCATCATCATCATCATCATCATCATCATCATCATCATCATCATCATCATCATCATCATCATCATCAGGATGATTATTTTTATTGCCATTATCATCACTGTTCTTGTTATTTGTAGTTTTTCTTGTTGTTGTTATAACAAGAACAAGAACAAGAATTTATTAAGGCGAAAGATGACGACGATAACATCAAAGAAACTGCAATGTATATATAGATCTAGATCTTCTACCAAAGGCACCAACAATAACGAGAATGGGACGACGGAAAACCCTTAGGAGAAAGAAGATGAGAAGGGAAAAAAGGAACGACACAAGCAAGGTAGGAAGGTTTGTCGTTGTGTGAGAGACAATTTGTCGTTGTGTGAGAGACGATTTGTCATGTGTGAGAGATAATTTGTCGTTATGTGAGAGATAATTTGTCGTTGTATGAGAGATAATTAGTCGTTGTATGAGAGATAATTTGTCGTTGTATGAGAGATAATTTGTCGTTGTATGAGAGATAATTTGTCGTTGTATGAGAGATAATTTGTCGTTGTGTGAGAGATAATTTGTCATTGTGTGAGAGAGATAATCCACGACCATCCCAGAAAATACAAACCAAAGACGAAAGAACAAGCTGGAAAATGTTCACGTTTATTCGGGAATTTAAGATGATCAAGGCAGCTTCCTTGCAGATCGACTGCAAAAACACAAGTCAACGAACATTTAGTTGAAAGCGTAGGCACTTGTCGGAACACTGTGTCTAGGGTGGGAAAAAGACTTTTAACATGTGGCACTTTTGGTTGAACAATAACTTCAAGGTCTTGGTATTCTATGGATTAACAAATATGTGTATGTGTATGAGTTCCTTGCAACTAAATTATCCTCCAGAAATTCAATCTTTTCCCTTTGTTCTAATGAAACTGCCATCGTGGTTGTGGGCAGCAAGAGAAGCACAGCTGAGAGCTACACGATGCTGTGGGGAATGAGGTGATGGAAGATGGCAGACATCACTCAGTCAGAAAACACGTGTATTCCCACTCACGCGAACGTGGGGTCAGTTGGAAGAGTTGGGACACTTTTCCTCGTAACAAAAGGACACTTTTCCACTGGACACAGTCTATTTTGTCTATTGGCACACAGTCTATTTTGTCTATTGGCACACAGTCTATTTTGTCTATTGGCACACAGTCTATTTTGTAAGTTCCTGTAAATTACGAGAGAAGTCACAGCTTGATTTTCCTAAGTGAACTTGCTTGTGTTTAGAGCAGATCTTGTGTTTCTGTGTCTGCAGGAATAAAATATTGACTCTCGAGACAATTCAACCACAAAGGGGAACTGCTTCACTTAAATGCCTAAACTCCTAAAATGTGGTTTTAGTGTCTTTTTGAAAATTCCTTTGGTAAGTAAGTAAGCCTGGCTCTACTTGCAAGAAGTCTTTGGTTGTGGGTCAACAGTTGTGCTGTGTGCATGGGCAAGCATCTTTTTGAAACAAAATAATTGGAAACAGAATTTTGAGAATGGCTTTAACAGCATTTTTTTAAAAAGCTTGATAATCGCGCATATATATATATATATATATATATTAGAACACAATAAACCAATATACAATGGTAACACATTATTATAAATGAAGTGAAAGTTACAAATGTGTGAACGGTCTGTAAGAAATAGAACGTAACGGCATGCAATATGATAATATGGCACAGAAGGTCAAAGTTGACAATGTCACATGTACAGAAGGTCAAAGTTGACAGTGTCACATGTACAGAAGGTCAAAGTTGACAGTGTCACATGTACAGAAGGTCAAAGTTGACAGTGTCACATGTACGGAAGGTCAAAGTTGACAATGTCACATGTACAGAAGGTCAAAGTTGACAATGTCACATGTACAGGGTCAAAGTTGACAATGTCACATGTACAGAAGGTCATAGTTGACAGTGTCACATGTACAGAAGGTCAAAGTGGACAATGTCACATGTACAGAAGGTCAAAGTTGACAGTGTCACATGTACAGAAGGTCAAAGTTGACAATGTCACATGTACAGAAGGTCAAAGTTGACAGTGTCACATGTACAGAAGGTCAAAGTTGACAATGTCACATGTACAGAAGGTCATAGTTGACAATGTCATATGTACAGAAGGTCATAGTTGACAGTGTCACATGTACAGAAGGTCAAAGTTGACAATGTCACATGTACAGAAGGTCAAAGTTGACAGTGTCACATGTACAGAAGGTCAAAGTTGACAATGTCACATGTACAGAAGGTCATAGTTGACAATGTCATATGTACAGAAGGTCAAAGTTGACAGTGTCACATGTACAGAAGGTCAAAGTTGACAATGTCACATGTACAGAAGGTCAAAGTTGACAATGTCACATGTACAGAAGATCAAAGTTGACAGTGTCACATGTACAGAAGGTCAAAGTTGACAATGTCACATGTACAGAAGGTCATAGTTGACAATGTCAAACGTTGCCCACAAACATGTTCTGACGTCGACTGTCTGCCAGGAACAAAACGTCACACAGATTTAGCAACATTCAATATTGTCCCGGCAGTAGACGAGTCACCACGGACACATTGTCCCTGCAGTAGACGAGTCACCACTGACACATTGTCCCTGCAGTAGACGAGTCACCACGGACACATTGTCCCTGCAGTAGACGAGTCACCACGGACACATTGTCCCTGCAGTAGACGAGTCACCACGGACACATTGTCACGGCAGTAGACGAGTCACCACGGACACATTGTCACGGCAGTAGACGAGTCACCACGGACACATTGTCACGGCAGTAGACGAGTCACCACGGACACATTGTCACGGCAGTAGACGAGTCACCACGGACACATTGTCACGGCAGTAGACGAGTCACCACGGACACATTGTCACGGCAGTAGACGAGTCACCACGGACACATTGTCACGGCAGTAGACGAGTCACCACGGACACATTGTCACGGCAGTAGACGAGTCACCACGGACACATTGTCACGGCAGTAGACGAGTCACCACGGATACATTGTCACGGCAGTAGACGAGTCACCACGGACACATGCTGAAGGGAAACAATTGTTCAATGAAAAAAGGATAGGACAAAGCACTTGTGAGTTTTAGCAAAAGTATATCTCTCATATTGAGTTGAGAATGTTGGGCTTGTCTTGATCAATACAAGGTCAGCTCACGTTTGCCCTAAATAGGCAGCAGCTTACAGAAAGTTACAACACAACTCAGGGCAGGGGACGGGAGGCTGAGTGACAGAGAAGAATTGGCAAAGAGGTTAAAGAAACAGGGACGAGAAAGTGAAACAAAGGAGTGGGTGGGTATCGATTTTCTCAAGTTTAGACAGAAGACGATTGTTAGTAACTTGATCAAGGAGATGAAGATGGACCGTAAGTGGAAGAGTTCCCAATAGTACAGGTAATACAATAAGAGTGTCCTCGGTCAACGTAACAATGGTACATACACGCACAGCCTCAAGGCAATAGGTCAACACATTTCGAACAAACAACCAAATATCAATAGATACACCGACAAAGTATAGGGATACATACAAATAGATATAGTACAATAAATATATTTCATATAAAAGCCAAATGTACAATATACCGGTAGTCTCTGTTTCACATTTTCAAATTTGGTCAACTCGGAGTTAATGAAAGCTGTGAGAAACTGACCAACACGACCGCCATGTTGTTCCGACCGTCATCTCATCTCTGTTGTAGGACATGTTGTTCCGACCGTCATCTCATCTCTGTTGTAGGACATGTTGTTCCGACCGTCATCTCATCTCTGTTCTTGGACAATCTCGAGAGACATTGTGATGTTTTGTCTGACTACAGAGACAGGAAACGCTCTGGGAAGTGTCTTTAAAAGAAATAGCAGCTGAACGGTAAACACAAACATCATCGTATTTTGGAAATGGAATTCAGTACAATGTACTT